AGTCCGTCGCCCAGGTATCCTGGTCGCCCGGGCAATCACGCCTGGTCAACCAGCACCTCCTTCACGTGCCCGTCGACCACCCAGGTCGACGACCACCCCCAGTTGACTTCACCAGGTCGACCACACCCTTTTGTCGACCAACTCCAGGTCGACGACACTCCTGGTCGACCAGCTCCACGTCGACCAGCACACCAGTCAGCCGATCACACCTAGTCGGCTGACCCAAGTCGGCGTCACCAAGTCGACGCCCTGCTACTCAACGCCCAGCTGCTCGGCGTCCTACCACTCGACGCCCTCCAGCTCGACGTCTCCAGCCTCCCCAGTCGAGGTCGACGTCGGCCCCTCCTACGTCGACCACTAGGTCCGGTCGGCCACCTGGTCGACCACCCCAAACTCGGCGCCCAGAAGTCGGCGCCCTTGTAGTGGCCCCCGTATGGGTCGACTCCCCTCGTTGACTAGCTTGCCCACTGCTGCAGGTCGGCTGCACTCTCCCGTACATCCGACCACAAGATCGGCTCCGCCCAAGCGAGGACGGGGCCAAACAAAATTCCCGTTGACAATTTTGTCGTGTGTAGAACGTTCGGCGTGTCGCAGTTCTAAGCAGCAGACCCATCAAGAACTCAAGGATAAGTTTGTGATGAAGAAGAGCCTTGGTTTCAAGATTCAAGTGATCGCGAAGCCCGCAAAAAGGGGTAAACTTCACGATATTGAGAATGGTTACATTACTTTGTGTAGTGTAACATTCCACTTGGCGTAGGCCCTTGTGAAGGGTAGTTTCGAGACCCTTCATGGTTGGGGACAGTTTGACACTGTTCCACATCACTGTACCTCGGCTTCTGGGGTTTGTAGGAGCTGGGAGTCATTCCCAACTCGTGACTCTTCCTATCTTGTGTTTTTAAATCTATAGCGGCTGCCATAGTGCCGTTTGTTCAAACCGGCACTGTGTCGTCAATACTTGGTGAAATCGTGCGATCTAAATTGCCTGTTGTAGACGGCATTAAGACGCTCTAGATCCAAATTAAATCAGGTCATTTGAAGCTGTGACCAGAATGCTATGAACGTTTAATGCCGCTATGCAGAAATCTGATTGTACACTCTATCTTTCGTTTTAGGCACATTGAAGTCTATTGTGACCAATAACACGTCCTTCCCTCCTCCCTCCCCCTTCTTCGCCCCTATTCCATCGCTCCCTTTTTCATTGTCATCAAGTCAGGCAACATACTTCTTTAAGAAGACGGCCTGGCCAAAGTAGCGGACTTCTGCCTCTGCAAGGAGGTTCCAGTGGACGTGGGGTAGATGGCTGGCTAACCTCTCTGCCCTCCCCTTTCTCTCACCTCCCCCAACGACATCAATTCAGGCAACATTTTCCTGTCCAAAGACGGCTTGGCCAAGGTAGCGGACTACGGGCTCTGTAAGGAGGTGCCGGTGGACGTTACGCGAGAAGGCCAGCCTCCTCTCACCCCTCCCTTCTCCCCTTCAACCACCTCTAAGGCTCACCCCCCCACTCAGAGACATCAAGTCGGATAGTACCTTACTATCAAAAGATGGCCTAGCGAAACTAGTAAAATTTCGACCTGTGCAAGCAGGTGCTGGAGGACGCTACGCCAAAAGGCTAGCCGCAGCTGCTGCCCCCTACCACCATAGCTGTGCTCAGCTCGTTCAAATTTTGGTTAACAAGTTGCAGATCTCGGCCTCTTCAAGTAGGTGCCGGTGGACATTGCTCCAGACGGCCAACACAACTACTGCCACCCACCATGGCCGTGCATTTGGGTACTTGCCTGGACCGGGTTCCGACCTAGCGAGGAGGTTGTTGTAGTGCCGGCCTAAGCTTCTCTACCTTCCTCCCACCCACCCCCTCTTCCGTCCCCCCCACAGTGACATAAAATTCGGCAACATCATGCTTTTGGAAGACGTCTTGGAAGAAGCAGCTGGCTCTGGGCTGTGCAAGGAGGTTGTTATAGTCACAGTACGCTCAAATGTGCCCAAAACAAAAGATAGAGTGCACTAACAGGTTTTGGCAGATTGGCTTTGAAACATCAAAGCGTCCTATTAACAGCACCAAATAATGTGCTATAAATTGGATCTCGAGCGCCTACAATTCACCAAGCATGAACAAGGAATGATCGGCGAACGAGGGAGTGAAGCCGATCTCCTTCAAGACTTTGTGCAGCTTCAAGTTGCTTTGCCTAGGGGCTTGCTTCAGCCCACAAAGGGCCTTCTTCAGCTTCCAAACTCTGCCAGTACGATCATCAAACCCCTCTGGCTTCGCCATGAAAACCTCTTCCTCAAGAGCGACGTTTAGGAACGCGATTGTCACATCCATTTGCTTCACCACCCATCCTTTCATTCAGAGCGTCGAATTCACTTCATCATCAAGTAACTCCTTGAAATCCACTGTGTCCTTCTCTTGGTACCCCTTGAACACAAGCCTAGACTTGTAACTCTCGATGTCGCCGTCTTCACCCGTCTTGATCTTGAGCCACTTGGACGTAATCGCCTTACACCCCTCCGGCAGTTCCACCAATTCCGACGTGTCGTTCTCCTCAATGCTCCTCAGCATCACTACTCTCCAAGGCCTCCTTGAGAGATGATGTTTCCCCCAGCATCTCCACCGGAGAGAAGAATGTGAAAGCACACTCCTCGTATTCACTCTCCTCGTCATCTCCAACCATATGTTTCGCTCCAGTCAAGGTAGACTTGGCTGGCTTTCCCAGCGCATCATATGTCACCCTATTAGGGGCTTGAGCTCTCCTCTTGCCCCTTCCTTCCTCCTCAGCTACAGCTACAACCCATATCGCCTTGGCACCAAGCTTGTTATGCCGAAGATGCTTAGGCACTAGCGCCATGCACATGCACATGAACACCTGAAGCACCTTTGGCTTCCTTCCAATCCACTCCACATAGAGCACCCATTTGTCTGCTCCCACATGAGTCAAGGCTCTGTTTTCAGCTACGCATACATTCCGCACCGCATCTGGCCAAAAACAGTTAGGTATCCCGGCTTCAATGAGCAACCCGTTTGCCGTCTCCGTGATTGTCCGGTTTGCTCACTCGGCAATGCCGTTCATTGCTGGGGAGTATGGCATGGTAAGGTAGTGCCCTATGCCGTTCTTCTTCAGCCACATAGCAAAATCCTTGCTCAGGAACTCTCCTTGATTGATGCGGATTGATTTCACAAGGCGGTCTTGTTGTCGCTCCACCATCGGCAACCAATCCGCCTTCACCGTTTCAACCACGTTGCTCTTCTTGAACAGCACATACACCCAGGTCATGCGGGTGTAGACATCGACTATGGTGAGGAAATACTCAGCTCCAGTAGCTCCAAGCTTCAAAGGGCCCAACACGTCCATCACCACCTCATCAAGCAACGCCTTAGCTCTTGCCTCCGAGCTACAGAACGGGAAACGGGTGAACATGGCTTGCATGCATGTCGAGTAGCCAATTACCGTGGGCTCCCCCTTCACACGTATGCTAGCAACCATCTCTTCCTTCACCAGTTGCTGCAAAATAGGCAGTGCCGCATGCCCCATTCACCGATGCAAGGTAAGCACTCCCTCGTAGCCGAAGTCGGATTGGAGAATGCAGCACTCGCAATGGTGCCCTGCATACTCTCTCTGTACTCCTCCTCTGCTGCTGCCTTGGGCTTCTCCTCACCCTTTTGCTTCTCCTTGGCTGTTGTACCACTCTTCTTATGCTCACACCGCATGCTGGTCCCTCCAAGATTGCACTTCTTGGACTCATTCTCCTAGGCACCATCGTTGGCGCGGTCGCCGCTACCAACCGCTTCACCCTTGGTGCTGATGCTTGCTGCCAGTTGCCTCTTCCTAGGCATTGGGATCACAGTGATCTGCCATATTTCATTGTAGACATCCCTATCCATGTAAAGGTCCCATAGAATCCGCTTGCCAAGCCTCGCGGTGTAGGTCTTGGCTCCTTTGAGCTCGTGTTCATGCTGGCCTTTTGCAACCGCCGTACGGATATCAGGTTGGCAGCAAGGTTGGGCACCCGAAGCATGTTCTTGAGACCCACCATCTTCTCATCAGCATCCTTGAACATGGCCTTGCCCATCCCTTTCACCTCAGCTCGCTGTCCCAAAGTCGATGTGACATGCTTCACCGGTGACGGTTCGAGTTCGGTGAGTAAGTCCGTGCGAGGTGTCATGCTATTGATAGCACCGCTATCGATCACCCAATAGTTCGGGGAGTGTAGGGTCACCTTTCACACAACGACAGACTCATCAAAGCCTTCAATACTCTCTAGTCCGGCGGATGCTTGTGTTGCGACGAAGAAGTGACGCGGGAACCAATCGTCGCTCGTGTCGTTGTCGTTATCTCCTCCCTTCATGTTTGCAGCACCACCTCCGCAACTGCCACGGCCTCCACGAACTCTTCATTTCCCTCCCCTTGCACCTCTACCCTCTTGGCCTTGGGCAGGGGTCTATCCATCAGGGATTTTGTAGCAATCGCGCCACATCCGAATGTTCGACACACGACAAAATAGAAAACGCACATGTCACGCGAACGACGACGTTACACAAGGCTAGTGATAACTCGTCATTGGCTCGACACACACATTCGACATCATGACTTATCATTCACATTATAATATAAGCGTGAAATATATATGATCTCATACCTTACAATTCCATGCATGCACACATCCACATACAAGGACAAAAAGCCGAGTGCAAACCATGCGGTTGCACCAACAGAGGTGCCGGTGGATGTTACCCCAAAAAGCCACCCGGAGCTGGTCTGCCCCACCATGGCCGTGCACGGGTCTTTTGGGCACCTGGATGTGAGCATGTCGCTGCTCACGGACAAGAGCAATGTGTACATCTATGGTGTGGTGTTGCTGAGATTATTGCCAGGGAATCATGCAATTTATGAGAAGCAACCCCTCGCATATTGGATAATCTCACCTCATGAGAGAGGGCATAGAGGGTGGCTCGTTCGGGTATTTGGTCTGGACCGGTCTGGACCGGTCTGGACCCCGAGTATATGAGAACGTTTCTGTTGACAGACAAGAGTGACGTGTACAACTATGGGGAGGTACTGCAGGAACTACTCAGTGGCAAGTTTGCGATTCATGAGAAGCAGCCTCCCGCATATTGGGTGAGTGGGCATGCCGGAAAGTGAGCAATGAGGGCGGATGAGGCCTCATGCGACGTACATTTATAAGGTGGCACTTTTGGAGTTGTTGCGTAGGAAATACGCCATTCACAAGAAGCAGCCCCTGGCTTATTGGGCGAGTGAGTGGGTGGATGAGTGGGGTCATGTCAAGAGATGAGAGTGGGCGGTGTCTGTTCATGCATGGGGATGAGTCTGTGCATGCATGGGGCATGGTTGGAACTTGGACATGACGTGAACAGCTATGGGGTAATGTTGCTGGAGTTGTTGAGCAATTATGCCTTTCCATCCCCCTTCCCATGTCCTATCCCCTTCCCCCCCAACCCCACGTAGAAGGCAGGGGAATACCTTATGGACACTAAGCATCTGATGGAGCTACTGGACCCAACTAAAACTAGTAGCCATTCCACCCCCCTTATGTGCTTGCTTGCTGCCCTGTGTTGTGCCTCTATTCCCCCACATCCCTCCACCCCTCCCCATGTGCCGGGTGGAGGAGTACCTAATGAACAGTGAGCGTTTGGTGGAGCTGCTGGATCCATCACTGAGCAGCGACTACGACCTGTATGACACACAGATTTTGTGTGACATTGCCAGGAGCTACGTGCAGGTGAGAGGCAGTGACTACGACCTGCATGAGGCGCATGTGAATGAGGGTAGCATATGTGGCAGTGACAGTAGGTTGCAATGGGTGAAGCAGTGACCCCACATGGCATGCTCACTGACCCCATTCTGCCCTCTCCTCCGCACCGCTTAGGACCGCTCGATGGACCGGTCGGCCATCAAGGACGTGGCATAGGCGTTTCTGGAGCATCTGGGGCACGTGGTGGTGATGGCCTCCTCAAGCGCCTCCTCGAAATGCAGCTAGGGCTACTCCTGTTGACCACAACCATGCTTCGCAACAACCAGCCCGCCCGACACCTCAGGCAGCTACACGACGAATTTGCCGAGGAATTTGCTTGCTGGTGGCCCTGCAAACGGCGGTGCGGGTGGGAGGTGGGGGAGGAGTTCACATTCCGGAATTGCCAGTCACAGCCGATCATCATTGCACGTGCGGGTGGGGGAGGGGAGGGGAGTGGGAGGACGAGGGAGGGGAGGGGAATGGGTAGGATGGGGGAGGGGAGGGGAGTGGGGAGGACGGGGGAGGGGAAGGGAGTGGGGAGGATGGGGGAGGGGAAGGGGATGGGGGAGCGGGGAGCGTGTAGTTGTCAACGGGTATGCATGACAACATGTCTCCTGTGCCCATTGGGGCGCATGAGGGCACCGTGCAAAGGGGCTTGAGGAACGTTCCTTTCCTTTATGTATTGTGCGCTATGAAGAGCAGGAGCATGTAGATGTCAACCGGTATGCATGGCAACAGGCCTCCTGTGGTGATTGGGGCTCACGAGGGCTTGGCATAAGGCGGAATTGAAATATGTTGCTATGGTGGTCTGGTGTTATGGGTTGGTGCAGAAAGAGATCATGTTGTATATAGTTGTTAAATAAGTCTAGTTGAGCTGGCTACATGGATTGAGTGGGCCAAAGGGTCCTAGTTTGAGGCGATTTGTATGTTCTGTGTGTACTGTAAACCGTAATCCCTCATATATAAGAACCCCCCCTCCTCAAGTTGATGACCCCTTGGAGTGGGTCTTTTATTTCGGTATGTTTGAGTTATACCCCGCTTTAGAGGTGAAATGAAAACGCTTTAAGACCCCCCAGTTTTACAGAAACTACAAAGAATGGTGCAATATCTTGTAACAAAATGGATTACTTGTTAAGATAGTAAGGAATGATCCATTAGGGTTGAGAGAGTGGGGTACAAGCAAGGTGGCGAGAAAGAGTTTGTACCCCCTAAAGGCTAACCCCACTATAGCCTAGATAAATAGAGTTTCATATGTTTTAACACACCCCCATACGCGAAGTGAGGGTTAGCCAGAGCAAGCAAGCGGTCACAAGACCAATCAAGAGAAACAAACAAAACAAAGCTCAGGGTGGATCACAAAGTCACCACACAGTCCGAGCGCAAGCAGATGGTCACAAGACCAATTCACATGAAGAGTTATAAAGAGCACATACAGTATAGTGATCATAGCAAAGCAAGAGTGAGCATGCAGGTATAGATATATAGATCATAGTACAAGACAAAGTCAAGTAGTAAGCAAATAAGGCAGGGTAGGCACAAGACCTGAAGCAGTGCAGAAGAGCTGATGAACATCGGACACAAGTGCCTTGATGAAAATATCGGTAGTGTTGGTCCGTGAGGCCTCGAAAGCAAGTTGAAGCTGACCACTCTGCTGCAACTCTCATGCAAGGAAGTAATGCAAAGCAATGTGCTTCGTTCTGTGCTCCAATCTCTGCTTGTGACACATGGCAATCATGGCCTTGTTGTCGACGTACAGGACAGGAGGAGAACAAGGCCGCTCACCCAAGTTGGTCAGCAAGTAGGTCAGCCAGCAATAACTCCTGTGCAGCCATAGCCCCCCCGTAGATCTCGGCCTTACAACTAGAGCTGAGAACAGAAGACGAGCGCGTAGACCTCCAGGAAACTGATCCGGAGCCAAGACTAAAAGTGTAACCCTGTGACGACCGCTCGTCCACCTGGTTGTCTGCCCAAGAAGCGGCTGAGTGTCCAGTGAGTACAACTGGACCACGTCCTCCAAGCACGAGCCCTATGTCCGATGTACCATGTGATGGTGCGCCGTGCCCTGTCCCGTGTGATCTACAAGTCAAGATAGCTGCACAGCTCACCGAGGTCAGTGCAGGTGTGTCTCTTCTGCAGCTTCGACTTCACAAGGGCCAGTGCCTAAGTGTCAACAGTAGAAAAAACCAAGTCGTCGACGTACACGAGGATGTAGAACGGCAGCAGAGAAGTGTCAGTGCGTAGAAACAGCGACGGGTCAGTAGTCGAAGGAGCAAACCGAATAGCCGCAAGTGTCGTCCTCAGTGTGTCGTGCCATTCGCGAGGTGCCTGGCGAAGACCGTAGACTGGCCGCCGGAGGCTCCACTGGGTACCCTCAGGAAACGACCCAGTGAAGCCAAGTGGACGGCGCAGCCCTGCAAGAAAGTTGTGCTAAAGTCAAGCGAGTGGAGCTCTTAGTCACGCTATACTGCAACATGTAGTAACACCCAAAGAGTGGTCATCTGCGGGGTGGGGGAGAAGGTCTGGAAGAAGTCGACCCCCTATCGCTGACTAAAGCTTCGTGCAACATAACGTGCCTTGAAGACAGGCAGAGAACCCGGCGGCAGCTTCACCCTGAAAATTCACATGCCATCGACTGTGTTTGCCCCAGGTGGGGGAACTGCGTCGACGTAAGTGCCTGTGGACTTCCAGGAAGCCATCTCTGCGTCCATGGCCGTCTGCCACTGAAAGGAGTAAGGACCCGCGATCGCCTCTACGTAAGAGCGCGGGGTCGGGATGTCTAGTGCATCCGGGTCTCCCTCAGGGGCAAGTAGCATGGCAGTGAGATGAGGTACAGCGGCCGCAAGAGACTCGAGCTCAAACTGTCTGTCCTAAAGGACATCCGTGCCAAGGGCACACTCACCCCCGACAGACGGAGGATAGTCTGACTCAGACTCAGGGACAAGATTCACTAGTTAGTCAAGACGACACGCAGCAGCAAAGTCAACAAGCTCAATGACTAAGGCAGACGTAGCAACAGACTCAAAAGTAGGGTCAGTGACAAGTGTAGCTAGTACATGCGTGACAGTAAGACTAGCAGCACGAGGAAGGTCAGACTCAGGGTCAGGAACGTCAGGCAGAGAGGACGCAGGAGGAGACGGCAGAATAGGATGCTGAGCAACAGAGGAAGGACGAAGTGACACAGTGTGCTCACTAGGAACAAGAGGAGGACAAACACGGTGAGCACGAGAGGTACGAGCACGAACAGGCGAGGTAGCGGGAGAGGAAGCACGAGACTCAGGATTTTAACGCTCGGCCAGGGACTCGGGAAATGGGGAGTAGCGTGAAGGAACAGGGAGAGGAGAGTCAGTAGACAACAGCACCTGAGATGGGTCAGGAAGTGGAAACAGCAAAGGAGGAGTAGTACCAGCGACAAGAAACTCGGTAGCTGCATGTGGGAGACTGAGAAGGTGGCGAAGCGCGGACAGCTGCTGCTCATTAGAACTTCCAGAACCGCCAGCTCCAGTACCCCCAGCTTGAGTACCTCCAGCTCCAGCTCTAGCACCTCCAGCTCATGTACCGCTAGCTCTAGTACCTCCAGCTCCAGTACCTCCAGCTCCGCCAATACCAGCACCTCTAGTGCCAGTGTCGCCAGGACCGCCAGCAGCAGTACCTCCGGCTCCAGTACCTCTAGTGGCATCAACCCCACCCTCAGCACTCCCAGAGTCAGTACGGCGTCCGACTACCCATTCACGCAACTGCTGCGGCGAGAGAGTCGCCTACGGACGCGACGGCTGCAGCTGTCCACCCCCACGCTCAGCACCCCCAGAGGCAACACTCCCAGGCCCAGCACCCCCAAAACCAGCACCTCCAGAGTCAGTACGGCGTCCAACTACCCACTCATGCATCTGCTGCGGCGAAAGAGTCGCCTGCGGACGAGATGGCTGTGGCTGTCCACCCGCACGCTCAGCACCTCGAGAACCAGCACCTCCACCGTCAGCACTCCCAGAGCCCACACCTCCAGTAGCACCGGAGTCCACGGCGACAGGCAGCAGAGGCAGTGAAGACGGCCGAGGCGGAAAGCCAGGAGGGCTCGCTAAGCGTGGGGAGCGGCGAGAGGCCACAGTGTCTTCAGTTGCAGGGTCACCCCCCCCCCAGCCGGGCCAGAGGAGACCTCCAAAGGCTCAACCAAGGGGGGTGGTGTGACCTGAGACACACCTAAGGGAGCAAGACGCGAGGTGGGGGTGGGGGTCTACCAGGGGTTACCTGGAATCATGAAGAGGGATGGCGAGGGAACAGGAGAAGACATGTGGGGGAGGAGACGGTAGTAGGGGACTAACTCGTCAAAGGTGACGTCCTGGGAGGATAGGACGCGACGTGTGGCTGGGTGATAAAACTGCCAGCCATGCGCGTCAGTGGGAAATCCAAGGAAGATGCAGCGAATAGTGCGAGAAGAGAGCTTGTCCGCGGTGGTATTGCGGACAAGGGACATCGAACCCCAGACCTAGAATGCCTACGCATCGCTAACTTCCCCCGTCCAACACAGTGAAGGCGAGGTCCCTGGCTCGGAGACACGAGGCTAGAGGTTGAGCTGATGTGCGGTGTATCGGACCGCAAACGGCCACAAAAAATGGGGAGCAGCCGCATGGATCATGGAGGTGCGAGCAACCTCCATGACAAAGCCAATGCGGTGCTCAGCGATCCCATTCTGCTGTAGAGACGCCGGAAGCGTGAACGATTGGGTGATGCCCTCCTCAGGACAAAAGTCCTCAAGTAAACTAGAGGAAAACTCACCTCCACGGTCAGAATGCAGACGCAGGACCGGTAGGTCAGACCGAAACCGAGCGCTCAACTGGCGACGAACAACACACATCCAAGGGATCAGTACAAGACGGACGTCGCCCTTGCGCCGCAAGGGAAACACCGTGGTATAGCGCGTGTAGTCGTCGACGACCAGCAGGAAATAACGCTCCCAGCCTGGTCCAGTGACGGGTGATGGGCCCCACACGTCCATGTGCAGGGTTTGCAGAGGAGCATTAGTCGGAGGGAATTAGGAGTGAGGAGCGGCGCGCTGCCGTCCCTCGACACAAGACACGGCGGCGCAAGCAACGGTGGGAGCGGGGGTAGGGACCGTGGGAGACTAGAGACTAGGACACTCGAGTGCATGTGACGTAGATGCTGCAGGGAGGGTTGACCAAGACGGTGGTGTCAAAGGAGAGACGGGTGCGTGAGTATCCGACACTGGCAAGACGCAGCTACTTGACCTGACGTAGCGACGTGAGCGGACTCAGTGTGTAGTGTGTACAGACAAGACCCGGGCCTACGCGTGAACGTGGCGAGGTGGTTCCTTGTCGCTGAGTCCGTACAGATCGCCACACGCCCGCCCCCAGGAAAGGTGATCATGAGCATCATATCCAGGAGGTGAGCGGCACTCACCAAGTTCGTAGTGAACAAGGGGAGGTGGAAACCTGTGAGAGAGCCGAAGGGGTCTGCCGGACACGGAAGAACAGTGGAACTACGTGCAACGACAGGACTAGAGGAGGGGTCGGCTAGGGTGACAGGGAGAGGTGCAGTATGCGGTGTGACTGTGGTGCAGTCGCGGAAGAAGCAGCAAGACGCGCTCGAGTCGAGTGTGAAGGTAAGCAACGCCTCTGCATGAGCCGTACCTGTGTTAGGTGCCTCA